ATCATGATCGCACGGACAACTTACATGTCAATATCTCAATCCACCTGGCATGGTCACGTGCTCAATATCACAATTCGTCCAACGTGATAACGAGATTAATATCACAATTCGCCCTGCGTGGTAATGGGCTTAATATCACAATCTGTCATAGGCTCACACAATGAAAGCAGATAGTACAAGAATACATGGACATGATCCATATATGTCAAGCTTCACACTCTTGAACTGATATAAGTGGCATGCTATGGTATATGCTTGTGCGAGTGTACTATCACAGTCCAAGTCAATAATTAATATTAAAGACATCGAGTAGCTCATTGAAATCAACACAACAAGTCACATAAGGTGCATGACATACACAAGAAAAAATACACCATTACATGAATATCATCAACATAATTCCCATGCGTGGTAATGGGCTTAATATCACAATTCGCCCTGCGTGGTAATGGGCTTAATATCACAATCTGTCATAGGCTCAATTTCACAATGAAAGCAGATAGTACAAGAATACATGGACATGATCAATAGATGTCAAGCTTCACACTCTTGAACTGGTATAAGTGGCATGATATGGTATATGCTGCTGCGAGTGTACTATCACAGTCCAAGTCAATAATTAATATTAAAGACATCGAGTAGCTCATTGAAATCAACACAACAAGTCACATAAGGTGCATGACATACACAAGAAAAAATACACCATTACATGAATATCATCAACATAATTCCCCTAGGACATCCCATATCATCCCTCACATAGTCACCTTTATCTCTCCATATTGATAACATTAGAATAGCTACCTTTATTGCTCCGCCTAGACATTTACACAATAGCCCCTCTTATCACTCTGATAGCCATCTGTATCACTCCGCCCTGATGATATCATTAGCCACTCGTATAACTCTGATAGCCACCTGTATCACTCCGCATAATAGCCACCCTTATTGCTCCGCCCAAACAATAACATAGTAGCCACCTCTATCACCCCGCACAATCAACAACAGTCAGATGCCACCCTTATGCTTCGCATAACAATAATCAATTCACACAACAAATCCACATGTGCTAACATCATAATAGCATGACATATCAACTCGTACCACAAGTGCTCATAGGTCATAACCTTTCCAAAACAACAATATGAATATCACCACAACATATGGCCCACAGCTCAAACACTATATGTACAAAGTCTCAATAGAAACAAAAAGAACGAGGAAAGTAACTCAATAATAAACAATACCTCATTAAAACACAACTTTTAGATTAATGACTTTCAAAGAAATGGATAGAAAATCAGACGAGATGGTTGTGTGTATGTGATAGAAAAAAGTTAGAGCTTGATAGAAAATTGAAGGAGCAGCTGAATTAGATCTACAAATCATGCATATACTTCAAGTATTAGTCCTTAAATTTTAAATTAAAATATATCACTATAGTAAAATACTATCTGAAAAAGCAAACTACAATATCATAAAATACACAATAATATATAAAGAGAGGAAAATAGAGATAGTGTGAGGCTAATTATACTATAAATTAACTTAAGAAATAGTATAAACTATCAAAATAATACTCAAAAATAATTCTGAGCAAAAGAATAAAAGTCTAAGGCTTATGACATGTATTAAAAGAACTTTTTTGTTTAACCTTTGAACCAACACCATACATTTAGAAAAATAATACAATAATATTCGTATTATAGATAAACATAACAAAAAATCAAAATATTGTAGAACAAAAATTAATGCATAAAAAGGATAATAGATATAATATGGTTCTATCTTCACATTAATTTATTTGATAAAATTAAGTAAATAAATAATACTCAAAATATTATTGATAAATTTAAATATCGAAATAACTATGAAAAAGTCATACAGGATAAAGTCAAGTTCAATTTTAAAAGTAATAAAAAATTATATTCATTGTATTATATTAAGTTGGCAATTTATTAATAGTTCATATGACAATTTAAAAATATTAAGTAACTGATAATACAATTAGATAAGAAAGGAACAAAAAAAATATAAATTTGTGGAAAAATATAAAAATACAACACTTATATTTAGAATTATGATGAGAAAAGTCGTAAATATATACATAACTAAAATCATAATAAACAAATAGTTATAAATGAAGAATACTAAAAAACAAATATCCAAGCGCAGCGTAAAATATATATACTAATTAAATTTCTCATTTAGGAAATTTAGTTAATAGATAGAACTCATAATTTCATAATAAAAAAATATAAAGATACTATTATGATATTATATATAAGATAAACATTTATATATACAACACAAATTAATAATTATTAAAATATTAGTAGTTTTTTTATAAAAATAATAAAATGCTTATCTCTTTGTACTTTTGATGAATTCAAAATTATAATTTAGTAAAACATATTACATTATTTAAATTTTTAGTAAACTACAAAATTAGAAAACTAATCAAATATTACAGTAGAAAAGAATGTATGAAAAGAGGGGGATAAAGATAATTTTATGATATTTATATTTTAAATTGATTAAAAATAAAAGATAAATAAATAACACTTAATAAAATTATCAATAAATTTAGATAATTGAAGAATTTTGGACAGTATAATATAGGTTTAAAAAATATTATATTATATTATATTATATATATATTCTGCTAACCTATTACATGATTGTAGTAGGTTAGCATTGTATATTTTTTTACTTTCACTTAAATGCCCTCACCAGCAAACAAACCATATATTAATAGGAGGGGCAATGTTTTAAAAGAGAAGTAGTATCAAAATATTAAGTCAATTGACAAGTTAATAAAAAAGTCACATTAGTAAATATATAGTATTAACTACTTGCTAATTTGACAAAAAGAATAAATAAGGAATAAATAATTTATTTGTTACTATATGATGTGTATCCTTTGAGTTTGTATAGATTTTATTATATTTCTGTGCACTATATTAAATAATAAAATATAACTAATATTTATTAAAATAATATAATATATTGATCATAATTTTATAAGATTAATATGTCAAATTATCCGCCCATCGCGTGAGTTCTAATATTATTTTTCTTTAATAACGAAGGAATTATTATGTTTGATATCATTAATTAGAACCACATCAGTATCTGATTACATGTGGACTATGATGACAAGCATGCCTATTACATTGATGTCGGAGGAGCAATACTAATGCATTGTTATACTTCTACTTATTTATATTTGTCTTTAAATTGTTTATAGCCTGTTTGGCCAAATTTTATTTTGGGCCAAAAGTGTTATTTTTTTGTCAAAAGTGCTTTTGGCTAAAAAAATTAAGGTGTTTGGCCAAGCTTTTAGAAGGAAAAAAGTGTTTTTGAGGAGAAGCAGAAGTAATTTTTGAGAAGCAGAAAAAATAGCTTCTCTCAAAAAATATTTTTGAGAAAAATACACTTAGAAACAGTTTTCAAAAGCTTGGTCAATCACTAGTTAGTGTTTTTCAAATTAATTAGTCAAACACAAACTGCTTCTCACCAAAAATTCTTTGAAAAATAAGCTGATTTTAGAAGTTTGGCCAAACAAGCTATTAATCCCCGCATTAATAATACATTTTTTTTCCAATGTATTATAACTTAAAAGGTATTTTTGAGAGAGGTCAGGACCTCAGGGGCGAGACACATTAGGAGCGCAACGCAAGCATGATGGGGCGTAGGTCCCAAGTTTTCGGGCGTTCGTCTAAGCCTAAGTCCCAACTTTCTAGATATTCATTTGAGGCGCAAGTCTTTAATAACTTTTCCAAGTTTGAGCCATAATTGCCTAATTTTTTTTTTTAATTCTTAAATATTCAAAAGTTAGTTCATAGTAAATTCTCAACTGAAAAGACTCAAAAGTCAAAGGCCTTTTCTAATTGTGTGTCCTAATATTATAATCCTTTTTTTTATTCAATAACCAATACTCTTTAGCTATTTGTGTGCAAAGTGCAAACTATAATATTGCTACCCTTTGTAACTGCAGAAATGAATTGTCTACCTTCTTCCCTGCTAACTTCTTCATCTTTAGACAAATAGTGTTTGACAATGTAGCCCCCCTTTGTAGTGCAGTTTCCACCCGCATGCCTTAGACCACTTTCTTTGAAGATGAACTCAAACATCACAGAAATCTGTTACATTAGTTTAGACAAACAGGGTTTCGACATGGCCAAGAAATGTATCTTAACTAAAAGGGTCATCAAAATACAAATATTTAAAGATAAAAGAGTTCTACGTCCACAACAGATGGTGTTTCATTCATTGCATCAAATTCAAATATTCCTGCATGTAACGAGAATCCAACCATTTATGTGATGTTACTGAAAATAAATGTTATAATTTAGTGGGATAGCCATTTTATGAAATTAACCTGTAGAAAACACAAGGGATTGGCAGCAAAAGCTATTATCCTTTTCTTTTTTTTCTTTTTTTGGGCTACTTTGTTATTCAAATTATTTACCCTTTTATTATTGCCAGAAGGAAAGATCACAGCTGGTTCAGGAGAAGAAAGAGCTCAACTGACTTAGTATAGATGACGTTGTCTTTAGAGCCATAATACAATTGAAAATTACCCCATGGCATCATGCATCAAATATGGCATTGAGCACTACTGGAGCTTAATTTGCTTGTAGTAGATCAGCTCCTGCCTTTATTGATCAATGCTATTAACTTGATTTTTGTTTCAGAAGATACTGATATCTAATAACATTCAGTAGTGAAACACATTTTAGTTAATACAAGGAAGGTCAGTTTAGTGGGAAGCTTTGGGAAATTGAAGACAGTTAGAGATTGTGTTATTTCTAACTAATTGGGAATGAAACCCC